CCTCAGGGCTGTTTCTCTGTGTGTGAAACACGGTGTGAGGAGGTCTCAGGGGTCTCGCCGGCCCCAGGGACCCCTGCTGGTCTGGTGCCATGCCGGGAGGCTGGGGTGGGGGGCATGCGGTTCTAGATAGCAGCCTTGCAGCCCTGCAGCCCTGCCCGCCCCCAGCCCAGAGGGGAATTTGGGCGGGAGGGCCTCTCCGGGTGGCTTCCCACACTCCGCCCCTGCTGTGGACATTCATCCTGCACAAAAGGCGCGTGCGGGCTTTGTGTGTGGAGCTGTGGGCCCAGAGGCCATCTGGGGGGCCCTCCGAGCCAGGCGGGGCTCCCCCAGGCTGCCTTTGAAGGTTGGGGAAGCAGCAGCAGCTCCCGAACAACATGCTGGAGGGCCGCACATCTGGCCTGGCCCGCGCCTTCCCATTTCCGCAGCCCTCGGCGGTCCCTGTGCACCCTGGCCACTGGCAGAACAAAGGGACAGAGGGGGACGCCTGCTGCCCCAACCCCACCCCTTCTGATTGCTGCCCCTGGGTGCTCCTGCCAGAGGACCTCTGAGCTGCTAGGGCTGTGGCCTCGGGGTTCCAGTCCAGTGCCGCCACTTAGGAGCTGGGCTCTCTGGCCCTCAGTTTCTTCATCTGTAAAATGGGGCTAATAACAGTCCATCTGAGGCAGGTGCCAAGAAGGAAGGGAGGGGGTAAAGGCAGAGCATTCAGGCGGCCTCCCCACACTGTTGCTGGTATTAACATCAACGTCTCTGGAGTCCCAGCCCTGGGCTCTGCTAGGCCTTCGCCTCGGCCCACCCCGCTTCATTTGGAGCATGATCGCTGCCCAAGTTCTGGGCCGCCTGGGAGCTGGCCGCTGGAGCAGGGGAAGGCTGGGCTTCAGGGGCCAAAGTGCACCCAGGATGGGGTGGCCTCAGGTAGGGAGCTAGGCCTAGGTCTGTCCCCTGCTCGGTCGTCTTGCCTCCCCCTCAGAATTCTGAGCAGGTCCAGGAAGATGTGTGTCCTGCTTAGCCTGTATGCAGTAGGTGCTAAATAAGTGCACAGTTCCTTGCCACACCCTCCCTATCCAGGCCCCTCGGCACCCCCAAGTCTGACCTCAGCCCTGGGCCTGCCGCAAGTTGGCCCAGCTGTGGGCATGGCCACCCGTGGGTGGGGTAGGGGCTGTCAGCCCCGAGCTGACCCTCCTGTGACCACCCCTGTGACGATCAGGAGGGATGAGGCGGGTGGGGGCTCCTTGAAAGCCCCTCCTGGCTCGGGGGCAGTTCTGAGCCTGGGCAGCTGGGCAGGTGGGGGCAGGGCGCAGGGCGTCCAAGGGGCTCTGCTCTCAGGGGCCCTTCCTTGCTGAGGGACTCTGGGGCCAGTGCTTGGCAGACAGGACCTCTACGGGGGGGCCCCTCCCCACCGCTGCTGGGGGGGGCATCCTTGAGAGGGTGTCCTGCTGGCCCCGAGATAATCCGGGCTTTGGAGTGGCTGTGAGAGCCTGCCCGCCGACTTTCCCACAGCCCCACATAAAGGGCCGGCCACCAGCTGCTGGCCCACAAAAGGCTCCCAGCCATTCAGCGCCTGGAGGCAGGCGGGGCGAGCCGAGGAGCGGCTGGGCCTACCTGGCTACCCCCGAGCGGGGCTTGCCTCCCTGGGGACAGCGCCCACCTGCGGACCGTGCAGGGGCCGGGAGGTCCCCGGGCCCGGGGCTTGGGAGCAGCCTCGTGCAGCCACCCGGCCAGCCACGCGCCTGCCCCTCCCCCACCCCGTCTCGTCCCGGGCTGGCACCGCTCCTGGGCCTGTCACTCACCCTGGGCACCTGGGACAGCGGGCCTGTCGGGGGACCCTCGCACTCCTGCTGTGGAGCCGGCACCCCTGGGCAGCCAGCCCCGCCACCCCTCCTCCCCGCTGCACACCCTGGCCTCGCCTCATCCCCTCCTGGCATCCCTGCTTCCAAGCCTGGCCTGCAGGGTGCTCCCAGCCCCCTCCCCCCCACCGCATCCTGCCACACAGTGCAGGTAACAGGGCGGCGAGGCCGTACGGGCAGAGGGCTGGCTAGCCTGCCCCCCCAGGCCTCAGCTTCCTGTCCGAGACGCAGGACAGCATTGCCTCCTCCCTGGGCTAGTGGAAGAGCCTCCTAAGGTCAGCTGCTTAAAAATACCAGGTCCCCGGGACACCGGGGTGGGGAACCTGTGCATTTCCTGCCCCCAGGAATGAACTGTCCAGAACACCTCCCATGATGACCTTATAGTATGAGGACCAGCCTGGGGGATGGAGGAGGAGCTCAGAGGGCCTCCTGCAGGAGGTGGCCGCTGGAGCCTGGCCTTCCAGAAAGTGAGATGAGGATGGGGTTTTCCAGGGGCAGCACCCCTCGTCCACTCAAGGGGCACCTCTGCTGGTAAGCACCCCATCTCTGATGCAGCATCTCCCTGTTGTTTCCACATCTCGAGCTGCCCCTGCAGCCACTTTCATCCCCCAGTGAGTGTGGCCAGGCCCAGCAGGTGTCTGGCTGGGAAAACTCCTGCTCAGGTGGAAGACGAGTCAGGTGCAAGGGGTTGGAGAGGCCAAGCGTGGCTCCTGAGAGCAGGCAGTGATCAGAGGGGGACCTTTGACCTGTGCCTGGAGGGTGGGAAGGTGGGGTCCAGGAATGAGTTGCTCTGGACGCTGAGCCCCCAGGGACAGCAGCTTCCCCCTGGCCTCTGCATCCTGGGCAGGCAGCTGGACGGTGGGGGCTGCTCTGTGAGGGTCTGACAGCAGGACTCGGTTGTAGGGCACGTCCGAGCTAGTGCCCCACGTGTCCCCCCGCCGCCGCTCACACCCCCACCTGCTGGGGGCGGGGGCATCATTATCCCAGCCCAGCAGCCCCGGGGTGGGGGGGGCTGCGCTTTGTCCAGCTTTGGTCGCTGATTGGAGGCGGAGCGTGGGAAGGCACGCGCGGCCCAGGCCCCACCACCCTGCTCCGCATAAAGGCGCTGCCAGCATCCGGCCTCCTCCACCTCCTCCGACCACCCTCTTGCCCTGTGCGCCTGGCCGCAGGCACAGCCCCTATGCACCCCCAGAATGAAGATCGAGTGGGGTCTGGGGCACCGGCGGTTGGGGTGGGGGTGGGGCCTGGGTGGGGCAGGCAGACGCCCCTTGCCACCTCCCTGGCCTCCCTTTTGTTTGAGAAGTTTGCGGGCACCACCCCAGCCCTGAGCTGGAGAAGGGACAGCGTGGAGACAGGGGGCAACATCCCGGGTGAGCGCCGCACCGGCCTGGTGGGGGGTGGGGGCTGGGGGCGGCTGAGGGGTGCCCCCTAGGCCAGGTCCCGCCCCTCCACGGCCTGCTTCTGCCGCCCGCTCACCCGCCCGGCTGTCTGCGCAGCCCCTGAGCCCCGGCAGCCCTGCCAGTGCCTTGAGCGGGCCTCAGGGAAGGCGAGCCGCTCTGCGCCCCAGGCGCGTTGGACATGCAGGCCAAGAGGAAGAGCGCTTGCCGGAGTCCCGCTGCCACTCGAGAGCCGCGAGCTGCTGCAGTCCCCACTCGCAAGGTGGCGGTGGTGGCGACGTTGCCAGGCCCCTGGGAGAGGGCTGGGCTGGCTGGGCGCAGTGCCCCCCCACAGTAGGGCACACTGTCTCCCCTCCTGTTTCCTGCCCAGCGCCAGGGCCCTGGCCCGGCAGCCCAGCCTGCGGGCGGGGGCGCCATCAGCTGCAGGCAGTGCCCCCCATCTGCAGCTTGAAGGAGGGTCCTGGGGGCGAGGGCTTTGTGTGTTACAAGGTCTGTAAATGGTCATGATTGGGGGGGTGTAGGGGTGGTAGGACGGCTGCGTGGTCACCCCAGCCAAGCCCTGCAGCTGGACCTCCGTTCCAGGATGATGAAGGACAGGATGCTTTCTGTAAGAGGATGGAGGGAGTGGGAGGTGCGGGCACTGGAAGGGCGTGGCTGTGTGCTGGCCGCCAGTGGGGCATCCCCAGGGGCTGCAGGTGGATCCGTTGGTCAGTGGTGGAGGTGGGTATGCTTCAGAGTGGGACCACCATGGAGCTTGGATAAAGGTGCTGATCTGCAGCCTCTGCCCCATCCCCCAAGGCTGACTGATTCAGGGCCCTGCCGAGGCTGTGGGGATGGATCCCCTGCCTCCCGGGATGGGACCCTGCCCTGCTGGCCTCTTCCCTGGAACCGAGGTCAAGGCCCAGATCACTCCTCTGGCTCCTACTGACAGGGAAGACCCTCAGGATGTGCCGGGCCAGGGGCAGCTCCTTTCCTCCCTGGGCTGCTCTGAGGAGCCTCCTGTTTACTCTGAGTCCCTGGGGGACAGGCCGTGTGCTGGCCCCCAAGTCATGGGCTCCAAAATCACAGCAGCCTGGAGGCAGGAGCCTCACTGTCCCCATTTCACAGAAGAGCAGGCCGAGAGCCTGCCGTGGACTCGCAGGGAGTCAGGGGTGGGCGAGGGCCTCTCTGCAGCCGGGGCTGGCCCTGCCCTGAGGGGGCCACCTGTGTGGACTCAGAGGAACAGAGGGTGTGCCTTATCCAGCGCTCTTCCTGGGGGTCCCCCAAATGTCGCCCCGCATTTTTTCCAAGGGTGAGCACAGCCTTCCCCCACGTGGCATCAGAGCTGAGGAATTGCTCTGTCCTGGGCCCAACCAGGGTCCTGCACTGAGCCCACTGGGCAGAGAGCACCCTGCGTTTTGCCTGGGGCAGGGCCCAGGGCGCACCGTCTTAGAGGGGTGAGGCCGAGAACCACTCTCCCCCATCTCTGACGTGGTGGTGGGAAGGGGGCAGGCACCTCCGGGGAGACGGAGCACAGGGTCTGGGCTTTGCTGCCCCCTGGTGTCCTGTGACCTGACCGTGGGAAAGGCCCAGCAGTTCAGCCTCTGCCGCTCGCGGGAAAGGCTCGAGCTGTCCCCCTAGCGGAGGAGAAGGCGGTGGGACCCTCGGGACGCCCGCCAAGCCGGCCCCAGTCCCGGGGGTGGGGCGTAGGGGAGACAGCCCAGGAGGGAATGCCCAGGCCTGGGCGGGTCTTCTGGTTGGTTCCAGGAAGGGGGTGAAGAGACGCTGACCCGGACAGGAAGTTATCTTCTGGGAAAGCACGAGCCCCTCTGTGACCTCATCCAGGGAGGGATCCCCAAAGAGGATGGGTCGCTGCTGGGGTAGCTGCTCAGAACTCCTGCTGCTTCCCTGTCAGGTGCAGCTCCAGCCGGTGGGGCCTTGAGCTGCCCCCCATTAGTGGTGCCCCCGGGTGCTCCCCAACTTCACACTCAGCGCTCCAGTTACCCCGTCGAGCAGCGTGTCTTTCCTGTGTGGGTAGGACGGCCTGGACAGCCGTGTCTGGGCCCACAGCCCCGCATGCAGCAGGTGCCTCATATCTTTTTTTTGAGATTTTATTTATTTATTTATTTGAGAGAGAGAGAGAGAAACAGCGTGAGAGGGGAGAGGGCCAGAGGGAGAAGCAGGCTCACCGCTGAGCCGGGAGCCCGATGCGGGACTCGATCCCAGGACTCCGGGATCATGACCTGAGCCAAAGGCAGACTCTTAACAAACTGAGCCTCCCAGGCGCCCAGCAGGTGCCTCATAAACGTGGGCTGAACAGAGCATGGCTTCCTGGAGGCCGGGCGGCTCTGGACTGGGGATAAGGCCCCTCCTCCCCTGGCCCAGGCCTCTCTTGGGGACTAACCAGGGCTTCTTCATCACTTGGGCAGTTGGTCAGGAGGCGGGGTGATGATTCTGGGGAGCCCATCTGTCATCTGCCGGATATCGAAGCAGCGGTATAGGGGGTCCCCCGAATATCATATCTTCGGTGGGACACGGAGACGCAGGCCTGAGGACACGTACTGAGTGATGAGTAGCCCCGGCCCCCACCCCTGTCCAGGCCTAGGCGGGGTGGGGGCTCGGCGCTGCGTGGACGGCCCTGTGAGCAAGCAAGGTGCATCTCATCAGGCCATGGCCACACACCAGCATTCACTTCATGTGTTCAAGCTTTTCTGTGTAAAACAACATCCAGTGACCTCGTTTAAATGAAAGAGAAAGGCAAAGTAGAGCTACACTTTTTATCTCATTATGACATTTCAGGGAGAAAACACGATTGTGGAATATACTGGAAGAGAAACCGTAGCTTCTCAGGGTAGGCAGGAACCTTGCCCTCGCGGGAACCTGGGGCCTCAGGGGTTTCCTGTGTGGCAACGGGTGGGGCGGTGCTTCTGAGGCGCGGGACCCGCGGAGGCCTTGGGCGTGGGACTTGTTGCCCAACCACATACCCAACGCACAAGAGCAAAACACCTGAGCGGCGTGCAGCTCTTATTTTTTAGGTGAGGTTTTTATTTTGGTGTCATTCACATGGAATTGTAAGAAATAACACAGAAACACCCCGCGTGTCCTTTGCCCGGTTTCCCCCGTTGGTGATGTCTTGCAAAACTAGGGTACGGGGTTTACGGGGATATTGACACTGACGTGGGCAGGATAGAGAACGTTCTCCCAACACGAGGCTTCCTCCTGCTTTCTCTTAAAAATGTTTTGATCTATTTTTAAAAAATTGTCATGAAATATAAATGAGATTCACCGTGCTAGCCATCTGCGGGTGCACAACTCAGTGGCATGAAGCACATTCACCGCGGTGCGCCCGTCCCCGCCATCTGTCTCTGGAACATTCCATCTTCCCAGACTGACGCTCTGCCCCCGTGAAACCCTGGCTCCCCGCCCTCCCTGGTCCCTGGCGCCTGCTCTCTCCAGGAACTTGATGACTCTAGGTCCCTCGTGCAAGTGGGTTCAGAGGGAGTTTGTCCTCTTGGGACTGGCTTAGTTCCTGGAGCTCCGCATCCTCAGGGTCAACCATGCTCCACAAAATGCGCGTCAGAGCTTCGGTGACCATCCACGGTGCAGGTAACGCATGCGCTGGTCCGTTCGTCTGTGAGGGACACTGCTTCCTCCCTCCGGCCGTCATGAACACAGGTGTGCAGGCCCCAGAGGCCATCCCTCACTTCCGAACCCCTAGTCCAGGGCTGAGGGCTGGAGCGCGGGGGGTGGGGGGACGGGCCAGTGGGGTGGGGAGTTGGGTGTGCAGCGGACAGGAACTGTCCTGACTGCCCGGCAGAGCTGCCTTCTGGGGAACCCGTGGGTTCCCCTGGGGCTGGCCCGGCGGCCCAGCCCTCACCAGCAATGAATGTCAATACATCTCTCCATCAGACTTTTTCTTGTAAAAGTGAAACACTGTTGTGAAAAAACCCATACAAGGTAGAGGAGAATAAAGCAGAAAGGGGAAGTTAGTCCTTGGTCAGAGCCTTCCCCACGCCCCCAGCGGAAGGATGCCTGACTTTTTTCAGGAGGCAGGGAAACAGGGCACGCGGGCAGGATTTATTCAAGGCACATCATAGGTCCTCCTGGCTGGGCTGTGTGCGTGTGCACCGTGTGGAGGCCTGTGTGTGTGGGTGTCGGGATCCTTTGGCACATCGGCCTCCCAGAGTTACCTCCAGGTGATCAGCATTTGCCTGAGAAAGAGCGCTTTGTTCCCCGTGCGGTGACCCTAGCTGAAGAACGCAAACATTGCCCACTCCCTGCAGCCGGGCACCTGGGCGTGTGCCCACGCCGTGAGGGTGGGGGATTGCCCGTGACGGTGCGGGAATGCTCCCGGGGGCACCGTGGGCCGGTAGGTGGCAGCTTGCATGGGTTTTGGGGTGTGTCGGGGGATTGGGGCTGTGTGTGTGCCTTGAGTGCGGCTAGGAGCTGGGAAATCTGTGACCGGGCGTCTTAATGTTATAGGACTTTTGTCCCCTTAGTGCCCGCAGCTCGTGGTCACGCTGCTTCGAAGAATGAAGAGGTGGACCAGACGAAGAGTGGCAAAGCAAAGTTTATTGACATAGTGCAAAGCTCCCGGAAAGGAAGGGGACCCGAGAAGGTTGCCATTTTGGCTTTCAAATTTAGGGGTTGTATTTTTCATTTATTTAATTTTTTAAAGATCCCATTCATCTATTTGAGCGAAAGCGAGAGAGAGCACAAGCAGAGAGACGGGGAGAGGGAGAAGCAGACTTCCCTGAGGAGCCCAACCCCATCCCAGGACCGCCGGAGACCCTGGGATCACAACCTGAGCTGAAGGCAGACGGCAGACGCTTCACCGACTGAGCCCCCCAGGCGCCCCTAGGGGTTTTTAGAAGCTCTTCCGAGGAACTATCCTGAGCATCCCGAGAGTGGGCCCCCTGAGGATTGGCCGCTAAGGTGTGCCAATCAGGGTTGGATCATGCCCTCCACCTATGAGGTTATCGTTCACGTGTTGCTGGTCCTGTGGGCTGACCTCTGGGAGACTACCTGCCCCAACCTGTGACAGTGACCGAGGTTTCATGGTTAGTAGTTTTGTTTCGGGATGTGTTGTGAATGTTGCTCCTGCAGAGGCTGCTGGACAGGAAGCTGTCGTGGTCTTGTCTAAGCTGTAAACGGATGCTCGTACGGTTTTGTCTCAGCTGTCCTGGCGCCCTGTTTTCTTGCTGGGGACCCCGGCCCCGACGACCTACGTGTCCAATGAACTGATACTAACACTCCTGGCCTGCGTCATAAGCGGAACGGAGCAAGGCGGAGGCCGTGCGTGCGAGAAGCCGCAGGGTGAGCTGGTGGCTCGGGGGCCTGACGTGGTTCCGTTTTGTCTGAGCGCACCTGGTCCGCGTCCTTGTTGAAGCTGACACGCTGTGACATCACTGGATTCACCCAGAGAACCCCAAGCCCCAGCTTTCCACGGATGCGAGGCTTCTCCCACCTCATGTGTCCCAGGGGGCCTGCGCTGTGTGCCTGCTGCTGGGGACACAGCAGTGACCGGGGACGGAGCTCCTGGTCCTCAGGAGCCCACCTTCTGGTGGGAGGTCGCCCTGGACCGTGTGCCCCCAGATTCACGCGTGCAAGTTCTGACTCCTGACGTGGCTGCACCCGGAGACAGGGCTTCTAGGAGGTAAATAGGGCTACATGACATCATACGGGGGGGCCTGATCCCACAAGATCCCTGCCCCGAAGAGGAGGAGGGTGGCCTGGGCGGCTCAGTCAGCTAAGTGTCCAACTCTTGATCTCAGCTCAGGTCTTGATCTCGGGTCTCGGGTTCAAGACCTGCCCTGGGCTACAGGCTGGGCGTGGGGCCAGCTCAAAAACAAACCAGAGGAGGAGACACCTGAGACCTCTCTCCCCATGTGTGCACAGAGGAAGGCTGTGGGGGACACGGCACAGTGGCAGCGTCTGTGATCCAAGGAGAGAGGCCCCGTGATCTCGGACTTCCAGTTCCAGAACCCAGAGAAACAGATGTGTGTTGTGTAAGCATCTCCACCCCCAGCCGGAGGCACCAGGCCCCAGAGAGTGTGGGGAGGGGCAGACGTGGCTTGATTTGTAGCTGGAAATGTGCCCCAGCTGCTGCCTGGCTGTGGAGAGAGGGCTGAGGGTGGTGTGGAATGTTCCTGAGCCTGCTTCCCAAGCCCAGAAGGGGCCAGCCCGTGGGGGGTGCAGCACGTGGCGGGGGGGGGGAGCAGCACGGGGGGGGTGGGGTGGGGAACAGCACAAGGGGGGAGCAGCATGGAGAGGGGAACAGCACGGGGGGGAGTAGCACAGGGCGGGAACAGCACAGGGGGGAGCGGCGGGGGGGCCGGGGAGCACTCTGGCCTCCAGGCTCCTGGTTCTGGGTGGGAGGAGCAGACTCTTCCCATTGCTGGGGAGGAGCTGGTGAGGGGCTGGCACACACCAGGCTTGGGACGCCTGGGAAAGGGGGGTCAGCGACTGATGCCCTGGTCTGGAGCCTGGGGGAGACCATCCCCCAGTTCTGCTCCCAGGAGCCGGCCCCTCAACCTCTGGGAAGCCCCCAGGCTCCCCGCACACCCTCTGGCCCTCCTCTGACCCTCAGCCCTGCATCCTTCCCCTCTGCCACGGGCATGAGGCCATGCAGTGGGGTCCGCTCCGCCCACCCTCCCCTCCACGGTGACAGTAGGGGCTGCCTCCTGCAGGCTTCCCACCTCCAGGCATCGCCCGTGTCCCCTCTAGAGCCCCACCCTCCCCCTCTGCAGCCTGGCCCCTGCCTCTCACGCCTCCCACCTGGCCCACCCCTGGAGCCGCTCATCAGCCTCCTGTCCGCCCAGTCCACCCTCCACACCAGCCTGAAGCTTGCACGGTCGCCCTGCAGGAGCGGGCCTCGGCCACTGTGCCAGCCCCCCGCCTCACCAAGAATGGACGCCAGGCACTGCCCGTCTGCATCGCTCAACCTACGTTCTTTCTCAGAGATACCCTTTCCCACCTGGTCCCCCCCCAGGACTCCTCTGCATCCTTCGTCCCACCTGGCACCTGCCTCCCTCACTAAGCAGGTGCCCACCACATGACTTATCTCTGGCTTTTAGATGTGGCTCCCTCCTTAGACCTGGAGCCCCAGGAGGGCGAGGACCAGGTCGCTTTGCCTCTGAACCCACTGTCCAGCCTGGAGCTCACACAGAGCAGGGGGAGCTGAGGCTAGCCCGAATGCAGAGGAGAGGAGGGCACGCTCCTGCAGCGGGGTCTCAGGACACCCCCGCTCCCGCTCTCCGAGGTCTGGCTCAAGCCATCACCATCTCTCTCCTACCCCTCAAGACACTGGAAATCTGTCTCAAGAAGAAAGGGGAAATGTGACCGGGGGATTCCCAGAGTCCCTGTGCACTGTCTTGACCGGGAAGTCACAGGGAGGCAGTGGGATACCTCAGGGTAAGGCACCCAGCTTGAGCCCTGTGGGTCTCTGGGTACAACTCGGGCTGAGTCAGGAGAGTTGGGGGCGTCCCAGGGCCCAGGTCACATGGGGCTGTGGGAGGAGAAGCCCCAGGGTATGGGCTCACTTCACCCAGCAGGGAAGATGGGGTGCAGGACCACAGGGAGCCTCAGACGTGCTGATTTCCGGGGGCCCAGCACTGAGAAAGGGGAGGGCCACACCCAGCAGGTGACGGCCAGCAAGGGGGACACCTGGTGGGGGTGGAGGGCCCTGTCACCAGCCTCCTCCTTCTGTCTCACCTCCTCAATGATGAATCAGGTACTCCTGCCCTGTCGCTTCCCCCGGTGCCCAGGATCTCCTGTCCAGGGTCCCTGGGAAATGGAATTAGGTAGTGACCGTGAGGTGGCTGCTGGCCACCTCCATCAGGAGGAGCATGGCAGGAGTTGGGAAGTCGGTGGGGGTGCGGCAGGAGGCAGAGGGGGTGTTGGCACCCCCACACCCTGCCTTGGGTCCCTGAGTGTGCTCTGAGACCCCTGTGTGCTGCTGGTGTTCCTAGAACATTCTAGAATACTTCCCAATGCAGGTGAGGGCTGAGTGGAGGGTGCAGAGAGGGCGGCCCTTCCCCTTCATTGGACACCCCCCTTAGGCAGGAGGGTATAAGAGCACATGTGCGGCAGGGTGCGGGCACGTCTAACGCGGGCTGCTGGTGTGGGGACAGAGCCGGTATTGAGGGGTCTCATGGGGGCTCCTAAGCCCCTGGGTCCGGCCTGACCCCATCCTGCTTCAGGGCCCTGGTGTCCATGGGGCCGGGCTGGTGGACCTGGGGGACGATGGTCACCCTGGGGTGGCCGGAGTGGCAGGCTCCGCACAGGGGTCAGACAGCACACGTGTCCCAGGTATTGAAGGCGGGAAGAGCAGAAGGAGGAAGGAGGCCACACAGCCCACCAGGGAAGGAGGAATCCGGGACCACCCGCAGCTCCAGGACCCAGGAGTGCAGCCCCCAGAGGCCAGGGCTGGTTCTGTGAGGAGGGGGCTAGGCCCCCACGAGGGAGGCAGCCTATTTCCGGGACACCCCCAGAAGGAGGAGCACGAGGTCAAGGACTCCTCTCCTGCGTCCTTAGCATCTCCCTCCAGTGCTCCTGGCGCTGGAGCCTAAAGCAAGCTGCAGGCAAAGGAGGAAACCCGTCGGCCACCCCAGGCCCAGCCCCGCCGAGCCGCGAGGTGGCTGGGCAGCTGGGGGACAATGACAAAGCAGCGGGCCCACTGGTGCCTTCGGTGACTTACTTTACAAAGGCAACTGAGGCCTGGGAGTGGGCCTGGGGCTTTGACTGGGTGATGAGAGGAGAGAGCAGCCCCCGCCCCTGGGGCTCCCCCACACCCACCCCCCGGAGCCAGAGCCTCTCCGAGTGGGTGGGCATCAGCACGCCCATTGCAGAGGTGGGGTCTCACCCACAGGCCGAGTCCCAGGTCAGAGTCCCACAGGACTGCGTCCCCCTGCACGCCTCGCTCCGGGACGCTGCTCATTGTTCAGGAGAAGCGGAGGTGCTCAGGAGGCCTCTTCCCTCCCAGCGGGCATGGGGTCGGCCTCGGCTGGCTGGGCAAGAGCCGGCAGGCCCCAAGAGCATCAGGCACGCCCCCTGGCCTCTTTGAGCAAGGAGGGGCGGGTCCAGACCATCTGCGAGGGTCGCCCTACTCAGCTAGTTCAACCCAGTGCCCCCAGGACGGGCGTCTTGACTATCCTGCAGACCCCCTGCGCCCCAGCCTCGCTGGGCCCGGACCATGCAGCAGAGGGAAGGTTCCCAGGAAGGGTCCCGGCAGGACCTGCAGGCGACATGAGCCAGCGGCCACGCACGGGACACGAAGCTGCCCCGTAAGTGCTGCTCGGATGGATGAGCGAGTGGGGAATCGGGCACATCTCCTCAGGCCGGGGCGCGTCCCTTACAGAGTCAGACTTGGTAGCGGGGCCACTCACCCACGTTGGACTTCATCTGTTCAATGATTTGTCAAATGACATCCAGCGACCATGTGGAAATGAGAAAGGCAGAGGGCAGCCGTCCTCTTGTGTTCCTGGTGACAATGAGAGGAAACCATGGTGACCGTCCTGGGTGGGGGCTCCCTCTGACAGGCCCTCAGGTGTGGGGGCATGGCCCGTGCTCGTCTCGTGGGGGCTCCCAAGCCCCTGGGTCCGGCCTGACCCCTCTCCTGCCTCGGAGGCTGGGCTGGTCATCCTGGGGACGGTGGTCAGAGCGCTTCTGAGCGCTGGGCAGCCCCACTCCAGCCCGTGATTCACCCCTGCCTGCTTCCTTCCCTGGCACCCACGCTGTCCTCCTCGGTGTCCCCCGGAAGTGGGATTAGGTAGTGACCCCAGGGCCAGTGGTGCCAGTCAGGACAAGGAAGGGGCTCGAGGTCAGTCTGGGCTGGTGACCAGAGATCAGCTCACTGGAGGGGGTGGTTCCTGGGTCTGGTGAGGGCTGGACCTCGGGGTCTGACGGGAACGTGCCCGGGGCCCTTGGAGCTGGACTCGCACATCAGGGTCGGGATGGGTCTGCTGGGAGGGAAGTCAGAGGCTGCCATGCCCATCACACGAGCCCCGGGGCTGAAATGTGACGTGGGAGCCATGGGGCTCCGGGGGAGACGCCCCAGGACACTTCCCATTTGAGGCGCCAGCAGGGGTGTGCTACCTCTCACCAGCCCCCAGCCTGCGTCAGGGCACCAGGCATGCGGGGGCCCCCCAGCCCCAAGCTGCCCACAGGGCCACCAGCTCTGCGGACAGCGGTGGTGTCGGGAAGCCCGGGTTGGGGGGGCCCCTTCTGGATGGGGAGATTAGGGCTTGGGTCTGAGCACGGTTCGCACCCCAGAGACCCTGGGCCAGACCCTGCTGCTTTCTGAGCCCGTTGTCCCATCTGTGAAATGGGAGCGAGAATTAACCGGCCCAGCCCCCTCCCAGGGACAGGTGGGGTGTGAACCCAATGGGTGGGGCTCAGGGAAGGCAAAGTGTCACCCCCTCCCTCACTCCCACCATGGGTGGCGGCGGGGGGACTGGGGGTGCTCCCCTCCCCAGCCTCCAGCGGTCTGGGGAGAGACCCCTCTGCAGAGCTGTGCTCAGGAATGTGTAGGTGGAAACCAGCCCTCCCCAGTCCCAGACAGAGGGCACTGCGTGGGGGACGGGGTTCCTTTGGGGGGACGGTCACCCTGCTTCAGCCGACGCTGTGACAGGGAGCAGGAAACCAGGAGGGCTCCTTGTGGCCTTGGTGCTGGAGGGAAGCCGCTGGGTGGCTCCCCGGGCATCCGATCGGCAGGGGAAACGCAGGTGCACGATTCTGGGGGGGCACCCGGCTCTAGAGGAAAGTCGGGGGTTGCTGCTGAGGGAAAGGGGAGAGGCCAGGAGAGCTTGCTCAGCCAGAACTTAGCGGGGCAGGCAGACGGGGCCCAGGCTGTCTGTGTGGTCCCGCCTCCCGCCTTTGCATACCCCTCCCCTCCCCTCCGCTCGACGAGCACTTCTGCTTTGCTGGGCAGCTCCTGCCTCCTGCGCAGCTGGCCCCGCACCCCTCTCCCGCCCGTCACTGTGGGGTCCTGTGGGGTCCTGGCCCCTGGCAGCCTGGCTCCCACAACGGCAGATACTGGGAGAGGGAACTGAGGCCAAGCTCCGATCGGAATAGCCTCCCCCATTGGGCCACAGACAGTTTCTCTTTCCCTTTCCTTTTAGAGAAGGCAGGTTCCGGGTTGAGTGTGAGCTCGACCTGCTGGCGGGGGTCCGGGGACAGCGGCTGGGGAATGAGGGGTCCTGAAGAGGGACATGGAGCCTCTTCGAGGCTGGGAGCCGCCCCCCTGGAGCCTGACACCCAAGGCTGATGCCCTGAGCCAGGTGAGTCCCCCGAGCCCGTGTGTGTCTGCGTGTCTGTGTCCCAGGGCTCCCTGGTGTCCCCAGTCCTGGCCCCTGGGTGTGCTCCTGCCCTCTCTGCGGACCCTGCCCTGGGCCATATCCACTTCCTGTCTCACATGGGCTTTTGTCCCCCAGCACTGTCCCTCTGGGCTGACGCAGCCCCTGGCACCCAGTCCCCTGATCCCACAGTATGGGGGAGCAGAGTGGCAGGAAACCATACCCACCAGCCGCGGAAATGCTCCTCTCCTCTGTGGACACCCTTCCCCTGCCACCCTTTTCAGGGCCCACAGGCCAGCCCCCGCGGCAGGAGGCTGCTCTTGGAAAGCAGGTGGGCAGGGAACCCCACCCATCTCCTCCACCCTCCGCCTGCAGCCTGGCTGATAGTTGATGAGATGAACTCCTTACTTGTGCAGAGGGCGGCTCCATGACCCTGCTGGGCGGGCTGCCTGCCCAGGCCATTGCTCCTCCCACCCTGGAACTGGGTTCCCCGGATAGCCCCCCTCACCCCCAGGCCCAGAGCCACGTGTGTCCCCTGCCGGGCCGGTGACTCCTCCAGCCATCCCTGCTCTGACCCTGCGGTTCCCCAAGGGCTGTTGCTCCCCCATTTCACAGAGGGTGAGCCTGAGGCCCCAGGGGCCGCCCTGGCAACTGCTCTCCTCCATGCGGATCCTGTCTCCTGCAGGCCCTGTACCTGCTCCTCCTGGGGTCCCTCCCCTGTGCCCTGGCCATGGCCCCGTGCAAAGAGGAAGAGTATCCAGTAGGGTCCGAATGCTGTCCCAAGTGCAGCCCAGGTAGGTGCATTCCTGGAGGGACCCACCCCTTCCCTGCCTGGGGCCCATACCTCAGCTCATGCTCCACCCCCTGGGGCCATCTGAACCCCCCGGGGGCAGGAGCACAAACAGGGGAGGGCTGAGTGCCTCCCCCCCAGCTTTGACTCTTCCTCCCAAGACCCTCACAGCTGCAGTGCACAGGGATGTGGCCTGGGGACCCAGCCGGCCCATTTATGGCCAGAAGCTGGGGCCCAGAGCCGGCATGGGGTACGGTCACACCCACATGCACCAGGAGGTTCCCACTCCCCCCGACCCCCCGCCAGAGCTGGCTCACTGGTGAGAGGCAGCTGACGCGCTGTGCAGTGTGGGGGACAGCTCAGGTGCCTTTCGGGGTCTGGGGGTGTCCTGCCTGCTGGGGGCTTCCAGGCAGCAGGCCCGGTGAGCGCCCACGGGGCCCTCCCCAGGCCCGAGTGACACAGCCGTGCTGGGCGCAGGTTACCGGGTGAAGGAGGCCTGTGGGGAGCTGACTGGCACGCTGTGTGTTCCCTGTGACCCCGGGACCTACACAGCCCACCTCAATGGCCTGAGTGAGTGTCTGCGGTGCCGAGTGTGTGACCCAGGTAAGGGCCCTGGCTCGGCCGCCATCCCGCTCGGCCCCACGTCCTGTTGCCGCGGGGCGCCCGCAGGGCCTGGGGGACCGGACCCTGTCCACCCACAGTGTGCAGGGCCTCAGGACCGCAGCCCCCACACCACACCGCTGAGGGCCCCCCTCGTGGCCCAGCACGCGGACCCTCGCCTTCGTCCTGCCAGGTGGTCTGGGCTGGAGGGGCCCCAGGAGGAAAAGCAGGACCCAGGAGACGGCCGCAGTGCTTTTGGGCCCAGCCGGGTGGGGGTGAGGGCTTGGAGCCTCGGGCTCACCCACACGTCCTCGATGCCCTGAAGAAAGCACCTGTGTCATCGGGCTGAGGTTGAGGTGCCGATGGCAGACGAGGCTGTCGCTCAGCAGGGGCTCGGGGGTGAGCCCAGGCCCAGCACAGCCCCCCCCCCCCCCCACTGCCAGCTCAGGCAGGGGGCTCTCACCGTTCCCTCGCTGCCCTCTGCCTCGCCTGCTTGCAGCGTGGGACCCTGTCCGAGGTGGGGCCGCTTCAGGTGTGGGTGGCCTAGGGCTGGGACCTGCCTTCAGGGACTGCCCCACGGCTGACTGTGGTTCTTGCTTCCTGTGTGGGCCCCGCGGGGACAAGGCCGTTTCCCCACCAGTCAGCTCCCCTCCTGAGGACACCCTTCTACCACCCTCCTGACAGCTGGCCCCTCCTCCTTTTCCAGCCCTTGGTGCTGCGGCTCAGGTCCCTCAGAGCCCCGAGGGACATACCCTGTGCCCAGCGGGAGCAGGCCCGGGTCTGGGCTGGGCAGGGCGTGCACTTGGCCGGGTCCTCAGGCAGGAGCACAGCTGGACCCGGACACACACACCAGGCTGCAAAGCTGGGCTGGGGGGCCGGTCACCAACCCGTCCCCAGACCCCCGGCAGGAGCCCAGAGGCCTGTGGCTGCTGTCCAGGCCTCTGCTTGGTCTCCTCCCGGGACGGGGCGCTCGGCACTGGCCATGGCAGCCCATATGGCTGCTCTCAGCTCCTTCTCTTGGGTCCCAGCCATGGGCCTGGTGACCAGGCAGAAGTGCTCCCGAAAAGAGAACACTGTGTGCGTCTGTGACCAGGGCCACTTCTGCATCAGTGAGGATGGGGACGACTGTGCCGAGTGCCGTCCGCACACGCCCTGCCAACCTGGCCAGAGGGTGCGGGCCAGAGGTGAGCCGCAGACCCTGGGTGCCCCGACCCCCTGGTCTCTACTCAGCGGCAGAGCTGAGCGGCACCCCCTTAAGAGACAGACCCCAGACCCAGCCTCCCTCCTGGCCTGGGCCCCTGCTCCCCTCTGCCCGGCCCTCTCATTTCTCAGGCACCAAGTGGCATGACAGGATGTGTGAAGACTGCCCTCCCGGGACCTTCTCGGCCAGTGGGGCCCTGGAGGAGTGTCAGCCCTGGAGCACGTAGGTGATCCTGGGGTGGTCTCAGCCCCACGTCCCCAGGAGGGGCTCCTCCATGCTCCCCTGGCAGATAAGGGCCCTCCTCCAGTGGAAACTCCAGGGATCCCCCCTGCTGCTCCCCATCATGTGCCGGCCTTCAGGAGAGAAGCTGCCGGACCCCGTGGCTCACACCCCCTATCACGGTAGCTGATGTGAGCTTCTTGGAGGCCAAGGATGGATCTTCTCTCCTGGGGCAGATCTGGAGGGAGCTGGTGCCCGATTCCGGGGCCCCTGTGGCTCTGGGGTGTCCCCAGATGCCAGGGCTGTGGGGGCTCCCAGTGAATCTGGAGTCAGGGGAAGGCTGTCAGGAAGTTTCTCAAAGTGAGAACCTTGTTCTTTCTGTGACGGAATCCCCCGAATGCCCATCCCCGGGTCCTGGGGGGAGCCTGGGGTGACTAGATGTGGCCGATGTCGGGAGAAGGGAACAGGTTCTCTCTTCCACCATCCTGCCTCTCCCAGGTTGTCCCTCTGTCTGCCACACTGGCTCCGAGGTTGCGTCCCCCTGACCAGGGCTCTGTCCGCCCTGTCTCCTCGGACCCCATCCCCGCCCCTCTCCCTGGGCATCCCTGTTTACCCACCTCTTCCTTCCCTTCCTCCGTCTGCCCGTTGCCGTGAGGCCTGAAAGGAGGCCAGACCCGAGCTCCCCCCACCCCCGTCTCCCCCGCCCCGGCCTGGAGCCACCGGAGCAGGGGCTGTGGGCGGCCGCCCGCCCTGCCGCGCTCGCTGTGCCGCAGACCCTCCCGGCTCTGAGCGCCAGGCCCCGCGCCCGAGCTGCTCCGAGCCCTCCCCGCTGCTCTCTCCTAGGTGTAGCGGCCCTTTCCAGACACAAGCCGACCCTGGGACCAGCAGCTCAGATGTCACGTGTTCGTCCTGGGGCCTTTACGTTTTTGTGAGCAGTCTTGTCATAGCGGGGGTCTGTGTCCTCACAGTCCTCGGGATGAGGATGAAAAAGAGACAGTCGCCTGGTGAGCATGGTGCTGGGTCCCATCGGGGCTCCGGGCCCAGCAGTGGCATCTCCCCACTCTCTCCCTCTAAGGTGGGGAGGCAGCCGGCAGGAGCATCTCCAGGACTCCTTGGCTCCTCTCAGGGGGGCTGTGCCGGCCTGGGGATGTGGGCTTCCCACTGAGCGGGAGTCCTGATGTCATGGGACCACCAGGGGTGGAGGGATGGGAGGACAGGGCCCCCTGCTCCGGGAGCCCCCTGCCGCCCCCATGCTCACTCCCGACCACGGACCCCGAGTCCCCGTCTGCCCTCAGGGCAGAGAAGCACCGGGCAGGCTGCAGACAGAGTGGGGGAGCACGGGGCGGGGTTGGAGGGGCAGCAGCAGGCCTGCCACGGGCGAGGCCGAGTGCCCCCGCGAGGCCACATAGCATCCATCCACTCCGCCCCTGCCCACTGACCCGCCTGCTGTGGGCTCCACATCTGGCCAGGCCCCAGCTCTGTAGACCCAGCTCTGGCCTTTGGGGAGCCCCGGGCGTGCCCGTGAGGGAGCAGGCACTCAGCAAAGCAGTCCAGATGGGGACGGTCGCCCACCTTCTTGGGCTACTGTCAGCTACTGTCCTGGGTCCTCACACCGGGGCCCCCAAGCTGCAGGCAGGTCTCGGGGTCCCAGGCTCTGAGCGATTCTGGGGCACCTGCTCCCTGAGGGGTAGGGGACCCTCCTCTGTGAAGGGCTCACTCCCTTTCCCTGGATGACCATCACTGGAGTGAGTTAGGGACAGGGTTTGGCAGCTGGGCACTCGGGCAGGAGGTGCCCCATGTTGGCCCACGTCCTGGGCCCTCTGCTGGACGAGTCCAGCAAGGAGTCTTGTCCACATGGGTTTGGCCTATCCCCCAGAGGGTCCTTCTCGCAGGGAAAGCCGCAGCGGGAGAAGCCAGGAGCTCGGGTCCCTCCAGCCCCCGTCACTGTGACAGTGTCTCTGTTTTGCAGGGGGACCCACCAAGGCGACATTATTTCACCAGGTATTACTGACCATTCCCACCCGCCCCTGACACACTGGAGATGATGCTGTTGGGCGGGTGGGGGTCCCAGTTCTCGGAGGGCCCTGAGTCCTTAGTGTAAGGCCAAGCCAACTCGGGAAGGGAGGCCCCAGTCCTCCCCTTAGAAACCCAATGACCCTGAGCACTACAAGGTCCCCCAGCTGGACACAGGGCGGGCAGGCTCACCAAGAAAGACACTTAAATTCCAGCCCAGAAGGCACTAGTGAGGCGCTAGTCACATCACAGAAGGGGATGCTGGGTGTGTCCATCCAGGTCCTGCAGGCCCCACCGGATGTCACCACAGTGGCTATGGAGGAGACAGCGTCCGTGTCTCCCGGGAGGGAATGACCCACTCACGGATCGATGGCTCCAGGAGGTAGATGTCTGAGCCATCTTGGGCTGTGCCTGCTAGAAGCTGCCAGGCCCCCAGGGGCAGAATGTGGACCGTCTCTGGGCTTGCTTCACGCTCTACCCAGCATAGGAAGACCGGCCATTGCTCAGGGGGCTTTGGGGACCCCACATGTCTCCCGTCCATTTCATGAGGGGCCCAGAGCCCTCTGCTCACCTCTGTGCTGTCCTCCTGAGGACATGGTCATAAGCCTCTCTTGGCTTCGAGCCCTGCTCACCCCCCAACCCTCAGAGCCTCAGCTTGTCCATCTGTAGGATGGGCCTGCTAGCACCTACCTCATGGCTGAGGTGACACGGGACCACCACAAATGCGGCATGATATGAATGACCATCAGGAATGATTTCTAAATGGGATTGGTTTGCTCAACAAATCAAAATTGTTTTTTAATTTTTCATTAAAAAGTATACTTTACAGATGCTTTGAGAGTGTGTGAATATCCTGTTTCTCCTGAAACTTCCACCCACTGATGAGTTTTGCCTGAATAGCGAGTTTTGAGGATTTCCAGTCGGTGGTGTGATTGCCCCCCTTCTCGGCGTGCTGGCGAGTCAGCATCCGTGGACGGAAGAGCTTCCCTGCGCCCTTTAGCCCGTCACGCGGTGCCTCACGCTTCCTATTTCAACAGTGCATTCTAATACGTTACGGTCATAATTCTGGGGGCTCACGCGGTCCCAGATTTGTCTTACAAGACGCCCTTCGACTCGTTTCTGAGCCACAGTTCCTACTCTGTCCCTGAGAATACTCAACCCAGCGACATCCCGGTGACAATGAGCATAGCAGGCCCACAGGCTGGCTTCTAAGACATTCTCCATCAAAACCACTGGGGTGTTCATAGGAGCGGCTTGTCCCTGGCCAGGGTCTCGGGAAGGGGTCACGTCCAGGACAGGCTCACAGGGCAATCTCCCTTCAAACAACGTTCCCAGTGTTAGATGCGGCCGCTCTAACCATCACCCATCAGCCCAAAGCGCCCCCAGAGGGTCCCACCTGAGGGTCACGACCAAGTCCACATACGTCACTGTCTTGCCTGCCCACGGCCACTGCGGCCACCACAACGCCTCATCCCAGTGTCTGAGCAGCGTGAGGTTGGGCAACGGCTTGGCGCCCCTGGACCAGCGTGCCCAGCGCGGTGTCCTTGGGGTCACCGGTGCAGGCTGACGGCCAGGTTCACCAAGAAGGACACTTCAAGTCCGGCCCAGAAGGTGCTAGTGAGGCGCCAGTCACCTCACAGGCATTTCCTGACCTTTGAAAGCACCAAAGAATTCAACAGGTAACATCCCCCAAAACACATTTTTACAAACAGCACATTCAGCGACTCGGCTCCGAGCCCTCACCACATTTCAGCCCTTTTGAGTCCTTCTGCGTATTTCCTGCCCCCATTCTATCAGGAGCCTTTTTTTGAGAAACACAGATCCAAGGGTTTTAACACGGCCACGGAGGAGATGCCCAAAGGATTCCAGAGACCAGCCCAGAGCCTCCGCCAGGAGCTCAGGAATAGGGGGGGGGGGGGGGGAGGCGACACGGGGTTGGGGACAGAGGGGGTGGGTCCTTAGCATCAGCACGAACCCACTGTGTGCACACTGCCCACGTCACACAACCCTGAGAGTGGCATCTGTGGGCTCTTCAATCAATGTATTTATTTTGTGTTCCTGAGATGTGGCCCCTCTTCGCCAATCTGGGAGTGAACTGGTTAGAGGTTTCTGGAGGGAAGTCATGGGGCAGGATGGGGCAGGCTGCTCCCCGCCCCAAGGGCCTCAACCCACAGCCCCACCCTGAGCCTGCCAGGCCCACCTCCCAACCTTTGCAAGCCCTTCCCCACCCTGTCCTCCCTTCTCCTGCCGCCCTGGGAGCCCTGAGCCCTCAGTGGCTGCCTACCCCGCGGGCTCGGCAAACCCCAGACCTCCTCCTCGTGACCACTTCACCTGTGTCTGTTTCTGCTTCCACCCCATCCCCTCCGGCCCCTCCCTGGTCCAGGGTTTTGAGGGCGTGAAGTAGGGCCACCCAGGCCGGCGATCCTGAGTCCGTCAGCAAGCAGCTCTTTCTGCTCCCAGCGCCCTTCCCTCCGGCCAGCAGGAGGCCAGAGATCGGGGCGTCCTGCCAGCCCGCTGGGTCCTTTCTCTGCAGCCGAGCTGGTGTGGGCAGGACACCAGGCAGGCATCTCCTTGCAGGAGCCCCGACCCTGGAACGGCCACCCTGAGGGTCCCAACCATGGGGAAACCGAAAGAGTTGCTGGAGTGCGCCTCCCTGCTCCCTCAGTCCCCGGCTGAGTCCTGAGCCCTTGCCCTCCAGTGCTGGGGGGACACTGAGCCCCATCGGGCGGCTCTGGGTTCTGAGGGGTAGGGCTCCTGGGGCCCAGGGGAGGGGGAGGGGGGCTTCTTCCAGCAACACAGCAAGAGTCCTGCTGAGCTGGCGCTGCGGCTCCCGGGGCCAACAGGCCAGGAGGGAGGAGAGCAGTCTGGTCCTGGTGGGTGTCCTGGCCTCTGATGAGGAGGTCTTACTCGGCACCTGGGCCGTCCTCACGCATCCTTCAGAACTCCAGGTCCTGCTGTGGCAGACAGTGGGCAAGTGCCCTCGTGGTAACATCCTAGAGCTCTCCTTGACCCGGGCAGCAGGCAAGCAGCCGGCAAGCAGCCGGCAAGCAGCCCGAAAGGAGGGGTGGGAGGGGAGGAGCGACCCCAGGAGGCTCCTGCATCCGCGAAGCAGGTGGTGCTCGCAGCCAGCCCTGCCAGCACCCTGCCCGAGCCTGCCCTTAGCTGACAGGCCCGGTGGAGCCAAGAGGGGCCGCACCGGTGGTCAACGGCAGACCCTACACGGAAAGGCGGATCTTGCAGTGGGTGGCGAGTAATTTCACTACCCCAGCAGGAGCAAGAAAAGCTTCCTCCTACCCAGCAACAGCCCAGCCAATGAGAGACTGTCCCAGCCCAGCCAATGAGAGGATCACAGCTCAGCCAATGAGAGACAGTCCCAGCCCAGCCAATGAGAGACCGTCTCAGCCCAGCCAATGAGAGACAGTCCCAGCCCAGCCAATGAGAGACAGTCCCAGCCCAGCCAATGAAAAGTCACTACGTTTCAGACTGTTTGCAGCGGAGGGTTTTTTTTTTTTTTTGATTTTTTTTTTTTAAATTTTATTATGTTATGTTAGTCACCATACATCATTGGTTTTTGATGTGGTGATCCACGATCCATTGTTTTCGTATAACACCCAGTGCTCCATGCAGTATGTGCCCTCCTTAATACCCATCACCGGGCTAACCAATCCCCCCTCCCCTCTAAAACCCCATTTGTTTCTCAGAGTCCATAGTCTCTCATGGTTCATCTCTCCCTCCAATTACCACCCCCCCTCATTTTTCCCTTCCTTCTCCTAATGTCCTCCATGCTATTCCTTATGTTCCACAAATAAATGAAACCATATGATAATAAACTTTCTCTGCTTGACTTATTTCACTTAGCATAATCTCCAGTTCCAACCATGTTGATGTAAAAGTTGGGTAGTCATCCTTTCTGATGGCTGAGTAATATTCCATTGTATATATGGACCACATCTTCTTTATTCATTCATCTGTTGAAGGGCATCTCGGCTCTTTCCACAGTTTGGCTATTGCGGACATTGCTGCTACAAACATTGGGGTGCATATGGCCCTTCTCTTCACTACATCTGTGTCTTTGGGGTAAATACCCAGGAGTGCAATTGCTGGGTCATAGGGTAGCTCTATTTTTAAATTTTTGAGGAACCTCCACACTGTTTTTCAAGGTGGCTGTACCAACTTGCATTCCCACCAACAGTGTAAGAGGGTTCCCCTTTCTCCACAACCTCTCCAACATTTGTTGTTTCTTTCCCTGTCCATTTTTGCCATTCTAACTGGTGTAAGGTGGTATCTCAATGTGGTTTTGATTTGGATTTCTCTGATGGCTAATGATGATGAACATTTTTCAAAGTGCTGGAACAAACAATCCTAAAATTTGTATGGAATCAGAAAAGACCCCGAATTGCCAAGCAAATGTTGAAAAAGAAAAACAAAGCTGGGGGCATCACATTGCCCAATTTCAAGCTATATTACAAAGCTGTGATCACCAAGACAGCATGGTACTGGCACAAAAACAGACATATAGACCAATGGAACAGAATAGAGAACCCAGATATGGACCCTCAACTCTATGGTCAAATAATCTTTGACAAAGCAGGAAAAAACATGCAACAGAAAAAAGTCTCTTCAATAAATGGTGCTGGGAAAATTGGACAGCCACATGCAGCAGAATGAAACTCGACCATTCTCTAACACCATTCACAAAGATAAACTCAAAGTGGATGAAAGACCTCAATGTGAGACAGGAATCCATCAAAATCCTAGAGGAGAACATAGGTAGTAACCTCTTTGACATCGCCCACAGCAACTTCTTTCAAGACACATCTCCAAAAGCTAGTGAAACAAAAGCAAAAATGAACTTTTGGGATTTCATCAAGATAAAAAGCTTCTGCACAGCAAAGGAAACAGTCAACAAAACAAAGAGGCAACCCACAGAATGGGAGAAGATATTTGCAAATGACACTACAGATAAAGGGCTTGTATCCAAGATCTATAAAGAACTTCTCAAACTCAACAGCCAAAAAACAAATAATCAATTCAAAAAGTGGGCAGAAGATATGAAAAGACACTTTTCTGAGGAAGACATAAAAATGGCTAACAGACACCTGCAGCGGAGGTTTTGTTTATGAGAGCCTCTCCCAGCTTTGGCTTTCCTGTAGGAAAGAGCCCCTTCTGCTTTGGCCTCTGCTTTGCTCTCTGCACTTGCAGAGTTTTGTTTTGCTTTGTTTTTTTTAGATTTTTTAAAAAGATTTTATTTATTTGACACAGAGAGACACAGTGAGAGAGGGAACACAAGCAGGGGGAGTGGGAGAGGGAGAATCAGGCTTCCTGCTGAGCAGGGAGCCCAATGCAGGGCTCGATCCCAGGACCCTGGGATCATGATCTGAGCGGAAGGCAGATACTCAACAACTGAGCCACCCAGGCGCCCCATGCACTTGCACAATTTTGCTGTAGCTTGCTGGTCTCAGATTGCAACTCTCAGATTGCTATTCCTAAATAAACCCATTTTTTTTTCTGGTAAAATAACTGGCAGTTTTATTTTTTTAACGTTAATAGATTGAATCAACAAGGGATGAATGCAAACTTGTAAAACAACTGAAACTCAAATAATGAACAAAATTATATTTCAAATGAATAAAACAACCACCAAGAAAAAGAAAAACTAACCTACTTTGGAGAATGGTATTTTTGCAACTTTGGAGAATGGTATTTGGACTAAAGAAAAAAATAATCGCAAGCAAATACTAAACTCGTTAGTTGGCAGGATTCTCACAATGGCAGCAATCCTGAGACAAGGGTCTGTGTCTTCTAAGACTGAGCCAGCGAGCAAATAAGTT